TCGGTTGAGTCTGCTCTGCCCACTCTCTCAGCCACTCCATCTGAGGTAATTTGAGCACAAGGCTGACTGAAGCTTGTTACTGGGTAAATTTAGGAACATTTTTCACTCTTATAAAAAAAAGGTTATTTTTGAAAGCTTAAATTATTTTATTACAATTGTAGGACAAAGGTAGTATAAATTGTAAGCAGTCTTTTAATGAAGAGAATGGAACAGTTTTGTTCTCAGTTGAAGAAATTTGATTTGGCTGATTTAATTCCAAACACTTTGGTGTGCTATGTGAAGTCATGTAAAGGTGAAAACAACATGTCACAGAAGGAATTTAGTTTTTTGAAAGAAACAATTAGGGAAAAATTCCACATTAAGAAATAATTGCTCTTAATAAAATAATCAATAACTTTGCTGTTAATATTTTTACCACCTGATCACTGATCAGGGTATAATAAATAATATTGGATTCAAGACAATAAAATACACTGTGTGGTTACAATATAAGTAAATATGGAGAAGTTCAAGGAGTATTTTTGCAAAGGCACTATCTTGTATATTAAAAATTAGTGCAGTACATTTTTATTACCTTCAAAGACACATTGTACAATCTGACACAATTATAACTTTAGTCAATGTGTTTTATGTTTGATTAAACTGGTTAGAGGGATAAACTGGTGTGAGAGGTTTATAACTTCAGATAAAACAGAGCTGACCAGGTCCTGCTGCAGCAAATCATCCCCAGACCATGACACTGCCAGCTCTGTGCTTCACAGCTGGCAGTTCTTTCTCTGGAATAGTGGATCTGGTCCAGCATGTCCTCTGTTCTAGTGTCAGATCAGTTTTAGAACAGTTTTTCAGAAGTCCTGGTCTCTGCCTATCTTGAAAACGTCATTCTGTTCTTAGAGAGCAAATACTTCCTCCTTTCAGTGTTTCCATGTCTCTGCCCTGCATGTCTTTCCCTTCTGTCATCTGCTTGCCTGTCTGACAACTGTCAAATAAGGGCCGCTGGAGCCCACAAAGCCTTAAGAAAAAAAAAAAAAAAAAAGAAACACAAGGGAAAAGCAACCAGACACCCCCAATCATCACAATCAGACATAACGCCAGTTTTAGGTGTGAAAAGCAGGGGAAACCTGGAGTTGCAGGTTTTCCCCCAGAGGGGGTGGGGGGCGGAGATCAGGGTGATCCCACCTGCTGATCATCAGCCATCAGCAGAGGTTAAAAGGAGCAGACTGCTGATAATTCCTCACCTGAGTGTGGACCCATGTGGTAGCACTCATTCTGAGGTGTTCTCCGTGTGTTTACATCTCTCTAGCGTTTCTCTTGTGCTCCTTCCTGAAGGAAAATGCAGGTTTCAAACAGAAAGAACCCAGGCTGGGAATTGAACCCTTCTTGCTACGAGACAATGGAAGATTTTCCCTGCTGTGGTTTTGCTGCCAACACTTTCTTTCTCTTTCTTCTGTATCACAATTGCCCCCAGTTTTAATCTAACAAACCATTAATAATTTACTGTAAGTGGCCTTTGATACTTTTGGCCCTCTCAAAGATTTCCATACATTGATTTACATGAGCTTGGTCGTCTTATAATCTAAATTCATACCAAAATTAACTGTAGCCAAACTGCCTCAGCAGCTCTGGAACCTCTAGAGCCCCAGATGTAGGAAGACCCTAATTAAAGAAGACCCAGATCTCTTAAATAATTTTATAGATCCCTAGTCTCTCTTTATGATTTCATGTTAAAGTAAAAACCTTAGCAAGTTGTTTGAGCATTCTCAGAGTTCCACACAGTGTAAACCTGTCCCTGATTTCTTTTGCAGGTTGTCTGTGACTGTGACAATTTAAGCAAATTGCTAATAACATATATTTTTTAATAAAACTAACTGCAGGTGTAGAGAATTTGTGGGAAGATCTGAAAAGTTGTGTGAGAGCAAGACGCTTATGGAAGAAAACCCGAAACATTTGACCCAAGTAAAAGGACAGCACTATTAAAGACTGAAGAAATGTGTGTAAACTTGATTTTAAATACATAGTCAATAAATATTTTTTTCTCTCATTATTGTAGCATTTAGCAAATTGAAAACAAAAGAAGTTATGTTGTATTTTAATGAGAAAAAAGGAGCATGACATGTATGTTTTAATTCAGAGTCTTTTAAATGTAAACATGTTATCAGAGAAGATTTCTGGCTTGATGATTATCAAAATATATTTATTAATACTGACTTTAGTTGCTTTTTCTGATATATCTTTAAAGATATGGATAAAACAAAATAACTGTATCATTTCCCAATAATAGCAAAACTTGTAGCAGTGACCAAACTACAACAGGGTGATGGTCATTGCTGAAGCAGACATCTCTGATGTTGGTGTGGTGTGCATGGTGTTGTGTTCTCACACAGGGACCGGCCCTCACCTAGCTGTCACCTCACTGAACCATCAGTCTGCTCTGATCAGCTCAAGCTGAAGATCAAAAATTAAAAGGCCAGACTGCAGGACTAACATACTGCCTCTGTCACTGCAGGGAGGAAGAAGGAGAACACATGAAACTTCTTTAACAGGACTACAACAGTTATCTAATACCTTATTTTACAAATTTCTAATGTTTGCAAAACTGTTTCTCATTTTTGCCTTAATAAAGCATCTTTCTTAAAGTAAATAAAAAAAAATTCATCTACACATTTTTATTTTGTTTAAACTAACTACTAAAAAGATCATGTTTAAAAAACTAAAGCACTTATTGTCTGACTAAAAAGTATGGATAGATCTGAATGGCCGAATAGTTCAAACGCATTTTTAATACTGAAGCCATTGTAGCAGAGGGAAAGCCTTATTTAAAATGAGGAGCTACCTGCCAGACAATGGAGAGGTCTGTAGTTTCATCCTGTTTCATCTCAACAGCAAGAGACAAAATCTGAAAAAACCCAGAGACTTACATTGTATGATTTTTAAATTATTAAAAACATTAAGTATTTTATTTCTACCGACTGAAAGGGAGTAAAAGGAAAAAGGAAAACTGTTGGTTCAATCTTTAGAAAGAAGAGCTGGAAGAAACTCAAGATGACTGAGGACTGTTGATTTTCCTCAGACTGGAAATATTTCACGGAGTATCTTTCAATTCAGTTCAATTTTCTTAATATAGCACTAATTCACAACAAATTATGTCTTGAGGAACGTCACCAAAAAACAATTTCAATTCAATCCCACATACATTCCAATTGATCCTATTTATTAAGCAGTACAGTATTCAAAGTAAGTAGTTTAAAAAGTTTGCGTCCAAGGAAACCCAGTAGATTGCATCAAGTCACTGACTTGCAGCTTTATACTCTTCCTGGACAAACGTAGCGACAGTCGCTTGCATAAGGTCAAGGACTTTAATGGTTAGTGTGCTGAAATCTTTTCAGGATTAGTTTGCATCTCTTCAAGCGAACAATCATGTTTTTGTTTCATCTACAAAATCAGGAAGGATTTTGCAGAACCTGAAATTCTGTTTTCTTTGCTAACTGCTACCTTGCTGATTTATTCACCCGAAAAAAATAAATCTGTTTTAAAAAAGTGAATTCATGTAAAAACATCAGAAGACACCTTTTCTCAAACCAAGGCCAGACTGCAGGACTGGTTTGTCCTGCAGTCTGAACAAAACAGTTTGCAAGTCTTCTACCAGTCATCACCCGACCCCTACAGCTTATCAGCCCCACCCAGAGAGCAGGAATCACAGTTTAAGAAAGCAACTAAAATGTCATTTTGTTGCAGAACGGCTGCACAAAGTGCTGCTTCAGCTGGGTTCAATAATGGACAGAGCAGAGAAATGGAGGCCATCAAGCGTGCGCCACAGAGTGAGAAGAGACGCTCTATTTTTAGAACGTGGTGATGAGCAGTTCTCCCTGTGGGACAGGGTGATATCAAAGGGATATCACCCTGACTGTTGCCATGGCGATTGTAATTCAGCTTGGGTTTCTCCTAATTAGAGAGGCAGGAATGTACAAAAGAAGAAAAGCAAGAGCAACTGGAACAAAAGTCATCATTCCAGCACTATGAATCAATAGTTCCTGACCAGCTGGGTGAGGAGGACGTGGAAAGGACCACTTCTGGCATAGGAGACACAGTGAGAGGGAAAATGTGGAATGACGATCCTGAAGGAAAGTTAGAGTAAAAGTCTTGCCTTTCACACTTCTCTTTTATGTGTAGAGATTAATTTAAAGCCAGTGTAGAGGAAAACACACAGTAGATGCACTTTAAATGGAAGGTCTGGGCAGCAACAGAATCCTCAATAAAATGCAAGGGTTTCCTTTCTATGCTGCATCGGTTCATTCATCAGTGTCAGGTTAGTCCCTTCTTGGAAGATAAATGAATAATTTCAAGATAAATGAATAATTGATTTATTCATTTGCTGCCACTGACATCCAGAGCAGTTAATAGAAAATAATCTCTAAAAATGGGTCTGGACAGATATTCCCCAGTACAGTGATCCATCATCTGAGGCTGTTTTTATATAATGTTGTTAAATTCATCAGAGACTGTAGCACTATTCATCAACTACAGACCTACAGAAAAAGATGTGCACAATGGCCTCTCAGTGCTGAAAAGGAGCTCACAGGTTCTGGCTTCGACTGAATTTGGTTTGTTGTGCTCACAGCGCATTAAAGTTCAGGTTTATTGACAGGCTTCTACAGACAGTCATAGGTAGCGAATATCCCAAAGAGAACCCCACCGCTGTCAGTTCTCAGACTAATTCTTGATAGGACGACCATTAAGTATTAAACATCTTTTAATAAGAAACATAGACTTATTGATTTCTAATAATAATTATTTTGTTTCTGGAAAAGAAGTGGTTCATAAACACTAGAAATTGAGATCTTTTCAAATTACTTTTGTCCCAGTCCTAACTTCCATTTTGGAAATGAACCCAGATATGGGCTTTGACTAGGCCCAAGAGTATCCACTTGTTTATTCTCAGTCAGTCCTTGGTGGTTGTACTGGTATTGTCATTTTTCAGGGTCCTGCTTCTGTTTGATTTTTTGTTTTTGTTTAGTTTTTTTTTTACAGATGGTGTTACATATTTTCCAGGCTCCCTCTGATACACAGTGGAGTTCATGATGGACTCTGTGGTGTCCAGGGGACCATGGGTACGTGCCCAAAATGACATCGTCAGAGTATCTCTACAACTCTCACAGACCGCCCACATAGTGAGGAACACACTGCTAATGGAGACACACCCACCGTAGCTAGAACAGAACCAGACATTAAACAGCCAGAGTGAGACTTGACAATTGAGGAGGGGATTTAGATACATGTGTCTCTATTCCATAGAGTCTATTGAATGGGGAATAAACTGCCTTTTAACAATGTGAGACTATTAGAAATAAAAAAAAATTCCTCAAAAGACAAATTTCCTTTATCTGCTGTTTCTGGTGTTTGTATGTACAGATGTGTATTACCTCAACTATAGAACAAAATGGACCTAAAACCTAAAATATTAGCTTAAATTCATTAAAATACTTGGGATTTTACCCACATGTAATCTATGAAAAGAAAAACCAGATCTGGCTATCCTTCCTTTCCTCTCAGCAGAATAATTAGAACTGAAAAGACGTTTGCATATTGCAGAGCAGAGCTTTGTGGAGGAGCAGTGCACAATTTACACCACCACTACTTCCATTCAAATCCTGACACACTGACTCTAATTAACCTTCTTTTTCTCTCTTCTCTTCTTGAGATTTTTTTTTGTTTTTTCCACTATAAAGCTGAGAACACAGAAACAGGCTGAATGTAAAGGCTCAGAAGAAAATAAGAGGAAGGTGTTTCATTATAAATAGCATTGTTTTCAGATCATGATATTACTAATAACCATAAGCAAAAAACTGACAGTGCTCCAGATTATCGTAAAGCAGAAAACATGTTTTCTCAGCTCATTGCCAGATTGTCTGTCTCAGCAGTCCAGCTGGTTCTGATTCTGATTCCTGTGGATCTAACCTGAACTGTTCCTACTCTGGCTCAGCCTCTCCCTTGCTGGATTTTCACATTTTCATTTTTTTTTTTTTTTTTTGGATCAGATCAAATTGTATTGCTTGATCTATACTCTGTCTCCCTGTGTGGTTGGTATATTTTGCTTCATGGATTCTAGATTTGAGCTGCTGTGGGTCCCTGCATTTCGAATAAAGCATCTTTGGGTCTGTTGCTGCAGTGTGCTGCTACCACTCAGTTTGTGGTTTTCCTTCTGTTATCCTCACATCAGGCTTCTCCCGAATGTGTCTCTTCACAAGGACTCCTCTGTGGTTGCCTGGACTCTTCTCTTCAGCTGCCCTTTGGATCACCTTTTCAAGGGTCAGATTTAATATCTTTTGCTGAAGACAATTTTCACTCAGTAAAATTCTGAAAACTTATAGCTTCTACTTCTTCTCTTCATCGTGGATCCATTCAGTACAAAAACCATGACTAAGGTCTAGGCAACAACAAAAGAGCATTGATTGAGCATTGACTTGTACAGATGACTGATTAGCTCAGTGTCCTAATCTTCAGCTAATATTTAAAAATACTTTGCTTTGATCGTACACAGAAAATGTCTCTCATTTACAGAAGGAGGTCTTTTTAAGAATATATAATTACAGCTAAAACACCATTTGACAAGTTCTGGTATAGAAAATCTTAAACTACTGAAGATGTTTCATGTCAATGTCAGTGTTTTAAGACTTTGTAGGTACCCTTCCTTCTAAGACAAGGCAAACAGTGCAAAAACATTCCTATTGTTTGTTGTGAATAATGTTGTTATGGACTACAGTTGGTTGTCAAGAGTTTTGCAATAAATAAGATGTGAGTAATGAACAAATATCTTCTATGAGTTCAAAAGCAGAGTCCTCTTGGCTGTTGCACAATAGAAAAAGAGGGATAACATGTGTGGGATCAACTGTGAGCTGATGCCATCTAGTGGTGAAGGGAGAAACATGCAGAGTTTAGTTTTTTAGTAGCTTCATTTTTTACCGGGAAGGAGCAGCTTTTTTATGGACTGACTGAATTAAATTTCCACAATAGACCGACATTAAAAGTGTCAGCAATACGTTTTGAGATCTATTTTTCCTGACATTTATTTGAAATATGTTTTTTCCACCATAATTTGTCATTAATACTAACATTCCACAGAAGAAAATGTATCCATCCACCTTTTGTAAAAGGCACGCTTTTCTTTACTTCCAAACCTAAAAATAGGAATAAAATGGTATATTTGCTACATGATATATTTGCCAAAAATATTAAGTTGTGTTTTTTCAAAAGGTCAGTTAAAGGTAGTGGCTCTGATCCAATTTTATTTAAACATATTTGGAAGTTTGTTCTTTCAGAAAAGAAAGCACATCTGGGATAACAACCCTGATACAAACTGGACTAATGTTGCAACATTCAGTCATAATTCACAGTGTCATTTTAGCAGAAACCCAAACACACCATAACGGTTTAGACACATTAACAGCGGTGCTCAGCAGTGGAGGAAGTCACCATGAACTCTGAAAATATTTAACAGTCCTAATTCTTGTTCTTGACTTGGGTCAAGAACAATAAAATGTTCCCAAAGACAGAGGCATCTACACCAATGAATTAAAGCATTATGGAAAGCAGTTCCAGTTAAAGACATCACTTTTGCTGGTGAATACTGGGTCATTTTAGAACATAACAGATGTTCTAAACTCTAGTTTATTATTTTTGAGGCAAATGTCATCAAGTCATTTGATGACATTTGCTCATCTTCAATAGTTCAAGATTTTTCTATACCAGAACTTGTCATGGGAAACTGCTGAGACATAATGAAGCGTTGGTTCCACCAAACCCAAATGAGTTTGTGAGAGCGAGCCGTCGGCCCTCAGTCCTCCATGGTTGTGCTGTGCAGGGAACATAGTTTAGGTTGAACTCAGGCTCAGTGCGGTCCAGGTTGAGGGTTGGGGGCAGCACCCCATGGTAGCAGGCCAGAGCAGTGAATGCTGCCTCCAGAGCCCCGGCAGCACCCAGCAGATGCCCTGTGGCTCCCTTAGTAGAAGAAACAGCCAGGCTGTCAGTGCTGTGCTGGAAGAGCCTCTTAATGGCTGCATTTTCTGCAGCATCACCCAAGGGCGTGGAAGTGGCATGAGCATTTATGTAGGTGACATCTGTCGGGGAGACTGCAGCATCTCTAAGGGCAGCAGACATACACCTGTTGAAACATCAGACAAATGATTAAGCAGGTGAAAAAGTTGATCTGACTTTCTACTTGATTCCTGATGTCAATGTTGAGGAAAAAAAACAACAAAAAAAAAAAAAACAATGAGTCACCTAAATGCTCCATCCCCATCTGAAGAGGGTGCAGTAATGTGGCTGGCATCCCCTGAAAGTCCGTAGCCCAGGACCTCTGCATAGATCCTGGCCCCTCTTCCCTCTGCGTGACCCAGCTCCTCCAGCAGGACCACGGCTGCCCCCTCTCCCATCACAAACCCGTCTCTGTCCGGATGGAAAGGCCTGGAGGCCAGCGGAGGGTCGTCGTTCCATTTGGTGGCGAGGGCACGTGCTCTGGCAAAACCGGCCATTGACAGTGGTCCGATGCAGGATTCTGTTCCGCCTGTAACCATAGCAACAGCATCCCCGTGTGCGATGAACCTAGCTGCATCACCAATGGCGTGAGAACCGGTTGTGCAGGCCGTGGACACAGAGTGGTTAGGGCCCTTCAGTCCGTGTTTGATGCTGATATGCCCCGCTGCCATGTTGACCAGGATGCGCGGCACAAAGAAAGGGCTCACTCTGTTGTAGCCCTTTTCTCTGAAAGCGGCGGAGGTGCGAGCAATCTCATCCAGTGACACCATCCCCATGCCTACAGCCACCCCCGTGTTAAGATGCTCCTCTGGGCTTTGGGGGCACCACCCTGCGTCCTCAAGAGCCAGCTGAGCAGCCCCGAGAGCCATTGCGGTGGCCGGGGACATGCTGTTTAATTCCGCACGTGTTGCAAATGTTTCCTCCCTAAACTGACCCTTATCAGACCCTCTCGGTACCACAGCAGCCACCTTACAGGGGACAGTCCTGTACTCCTCAGGGTCCAGGGCGACAATCCCACTCTGGCCACTGATGAGGCGCTCCCACACCAGAGCGGTGCCTGTGCCCAGGGGACACACCAGTCCTATTCCAGTAATAACAACTCTCCTCACAGAGTGCTGTCCATACTGGGAGCTCTGGGTGGGATGGTTAGAACAAAAGGCAGCCTTATGAAGCAGAGTTCTGGTGTAATGAAGATTCCGTTGGAGTTTTGTCCAACAGGACAGAGATAAAGCGGACATTTTAATATTTCTCACAACTAAACCGACTAACCGAAGAAAAACACTAAAGCAGCTAGCCTTAAAAGCTAAGAGTTGATTGTTTTTAGCTTGTTTTAGGTACCAATGATGAACGCCATTTCAGTTTTATTAATAACAAAAAAATAAACTGCCTTATTAGCTGTTTTAAAATTAAGAAATGAAATAAAAATATAGTTTAAAAATATAACTATAAAAGTATAAACACAATTTCCGTGCAATTTTGAAGGTCCTGATATTTTGTTAGGCAGCTTGTGGGACACATTCCTCAAGGACCCCAAGCGGAAGCAATTTAGCTCTTATTTGAAAGTAGCAGTAGTCATTGGCGCTACATCTTCTACCAAAAGCTATAAAACAAAATGTCTCTGTCTCCGGCGGTCACAACACTGTGTGACAACTCTGACGAGGTCTTCCTTGATGTGGCCAAGTTGCTGCTTACATATGCGGACAACATTATAAGGTATGTCCAGTAAACGGGTCAGTGGAATGTGTCAAGGTCCATCGGGATTTACTGTATCTTCCTGAAAAATACCCATTAACTGTTCTGCTTTCTTTTATCAACTTCACAAGAAAACAACAACAAAAATAAAAAATAAAATAAATATTCCGTTTTATGTTCTATGTACGGTATGCATTTGTTATGGTTTTAATAAGGTGATACACCTTTTCTTCTGCAAAAATGTCAAACCTCGTTGTAGGTTTTTTTATCAGGGTAATTTTGGTGTACGTGTCATCATTAGGGATCAGCGTAGAGGTAGAGATAAATTCTGTCTTTTCTTACATGTTCCGAAAACGCGCGCAACACAAATAGCAATAACATTATATATTTGCCAGTTTTAAGTAGAATATAGTATTGCTTATATCTTCACAGTGGCGCAATTTGTAGCATTTCTGGGTTCGAATCACAGCCTGGGGTCTTCTTGCATAGAGTTTGCGTGTTCTTCCTGTGCATACGTAGATTCTCTCCGGATACTCCGGCTTCCTACCACAGTCCAAAAACAAAACATGACTGTCAGTTTACTTGATCTCTCCCAATTCTCCTTAAATGAATTTGGAGTTGGGTGTGTGCATGATTGTTTATCCTGCTTGTCTCTGTGTTGCCCTGCGATGGACTGGCGACCTGTCCAGGTTGACCCCGCCGCTCATCTGTTGAGTGCTGGAGATGGGCGCCAGCACACATCGCGACCTCACTAGGGATAAGCCTGTATGATAATGGATGGATGGATTATTAACAGCCCTCAGTGGAGCTTGAAGGTGTTTGTTATACAAGTACATCTCCGTTGATCAGCACACCCTCAGTCCAAGAAGGTCTGGACAGTCATGGCAGTGTTTCGGCAGGTTATAGTTCATGGTGGACTTCATCCTGGGGGTTAGTAGATGTTTCTTGAACGTCCTCATTTATTTCTATTCCGATCTAGAGTGTTGTGGCTTTAAATGCCTTGGTACCTGAGGGGCTGAGGTAATTCTCTCTTTGAGTCTTCAGACGTCTTTTTTTTTGGACCAGAATCATTTCCATCCTAGTGTAACTGTCTCCTAAGCTGTCTCTTTAAGAAAGTTTAATATCTCATTTTTATCGTTGCATATGTAGCACTGACCCATTTTTACATTTTCAATATCTGTCAGAGAATGAAACCTAGTTGTTTTCATAAAAGTGATGATCTGTGGACCTCATGGTACTTTGATCACAGCAGATTTGTGTCTGGTATTAAAACTCACACCAGCTTCCTTTAAAACATTTGTAATCACTGACTTTTAATTTTAAATATGTAGTAACATGTTCACTGAATAGAAATCAAATTCTGCCATCTTGTTTTCTATGTCCCTGCCAACAGGTGTCCAACTGAGGAAAAGTACAGGTCTATCCGTATAGGCAACCCCACCTTCTCCACCAAGCTGCTGCCTATCAAAGGAGCTGTGGAATGTCTCTTTGAGATGGGATTTGAGGAGGTAAATGGACAACTATCATTAATGTTAGTAATTCGAAAGCTGCTGCTCCTGTTGTGTAACATTGTTACCAGCTAATTTCTCTAACCGTTTCTAGGCTGAAACCCATCTGGTCTTCCCTCAGTCTGCATCAGTGGAGCAGCTGAAGCTCATCAGGGACTGTATTGCTGCAGAGCGGGATCTGAGACTGCGTGGGGGGCGTCCTGTCCAACCTGCTTCTCAGCCTGCTGTGGCCTCAGTGTTGGTACCGGAGAGCTGCGCTGCTGCTTCCAGCCCACCAACAGCGCCATCTACTCAACAGCCATCATCTCTGGTAGGTATGCTCACCGCTTCTGCGTTGTTTCTAACAGTAAAGCGTGTGCATTCTTCTTTGATTTTCTTTGTATTCCAAAGATACAAACTGATCTTTTGTATCTTTAAGGTACAAAGATACCCTAAAGATATCTTTAGATACCCTAAAGATGTATTCTAAACTGATCTTTGGAATACAAAGAACACAAAGATCAGTTGTATTCCAAAGAATACAACTGATCATGTTTGTTCTTAGAATGATCATGAGCAACTTTTCAATTTCAGAAATACTTTATTGATCCCAAATGAAAATGAAATGTTGATGCAACTCATATTAATTCTAATTCAAATTTGATTCATTTGCATGGTATATTGTTATTGATAATCCTCTAGGGCCACTGTCAGAGATGCCTCTGCAGAGCAATGTGGTTGAAGATTCCTTAGTAACTGTTACACAGTGAGACGGCCAAACATTTTAGCAGCAACATGGAGTTCAAGCAGGGGGATTTTTATGTTATATACTGGATTATCAGTGACTGCATTCAATTGCACATACCTGTTAACGCCCCTCTGTTAAGTCAATTTAATTGAGTTTTTTTGTACTGCACTAATTCTCTAAATTCAGTGGCTTTATGTCAGTGTTGTGTGATACAGACATAGTACTGTGTTGTGGTGGAACAGGTCAGGTGGTGCTGCTAACATGTTTGACTGCTACTAAAAACATTTTACATGAACCAGTCTATTGATTCATTTATTGATAAATAAAATCAAAAGATTTGGTAATATTATTGTACTGTAAACAATCAGCTTTGGCACTTATTGCATATTGCATCATAATCTAGACAAAGATTTGCTCATTAAACTACTAAATATGCATAAAAGTGTTATAACTGGAGTCTAACATATGGTTATACAAAGATTTTATACAATTTAAATGTTCTAATACTGAAATAAACAAATATGATGCTGTATGCTGCATAATGTGGCAAATGTAGTATCTGGCCTTACCTCTCAGAACAGAATTGGTGTTAGTAAGGCAGAAGGCGGAGCTGATTGGTTCACATGGGCTGGAGCAGCAGTCCAATCAGCAGCAGCAGGGAAGGTGAGGCTACAGTGCAACCAGTCAGACTGGAATGGCACAGTCTACTCCATGAGTCAGGAACACATCTGGTAAGTGGATAAAAGAGAAAGCGTTTGACTTTTGAAGGCTTTTGACACAATGAACATTGACATACCAGAGAGCTGATTTTGTCGACTGGTACACTGCACTGTTCCGTCCTCTGCTCCCAGACCAGAGCAACATCGTGAGCAGCAGGTAAACTCAAAGCTCCGCACCACCCCTGCCTTGTTCCTGCTCACCCGGACAGAGGAAGAAGCAGCAGTAGATCAACACTGCTCAACTTTTTATTAAATGCTACTTTGGGTCCTCTAGCCCTGTCTATGTATGTCTTAGCCAGTCATGGAATCCGCCATTGTTCCATCTGGCCTGGTGGTACGAAGCTGAGTCTACATCTTGAGACTGTATGGTTTGTAGGGCTGTAGTGATACAATAATCTCACGATACACAATATTCTGCTCACGATATGATATATGTACATAGATATATATATATAGCGATATTCAGCAAACGATACAATTCAATACACTTTTGCGATTTTCTGAACAATTTTAGAGGGACAGAGTGATTTTGGTGACATTTTGTGACTGTTATAGAGTTGGACTGAATTCATTTAACTGAAAACTGATTAAAAGCACCAACTACACAATACCTGGCTCTGGTTGGACCTGGACACAGACTTAAAGTCGACAGCTGGACAAAATGAATCAAAGTGGTGAGAAAACATGTTTAATTGAAACAGTACAAACTGTAGCTTACATGCATTTGTAAAGTAAATACAGTCCACCAAGTACCCTGCTCTGAATAGTTTGATACCTTTTTAACCTTGACACTTAACATCTGAAGGAATCACTCTAAGCCTGATGACCTAATCACTCTCCCGGCAAAGCAAGCAGTGAGTGAGCAAGGTGACAGTTGGATGTTAGTATACTTGCGAATGAATATCAATTTTTTTCTAGGAAAGAAAATCTCGATATATATCGCAAAATCAATATTATCACATAAATTTATGATATTTAAAGGGCATGATCCACCTAAACATAAATTTGTTAAGATAGAAATAATATTTTTAGCCAGCATCGACAGTCATTCATTCCAAGCCATGATCTCAAATAAGTAAATTAAGTTTTGGAATAAATTTTTGATGGAGTCTTAAAATATTTGTGGATTTTTAAAAATGGCAACTTAAAATGAATACAAAGAAGCTAGCATTATGGTGCTATGTTGCAGTCCGTTAACGTACCTTGTATGCTTTTAAGCACTGTCAGTACCTATATTAATTGCTTATTAAAGTTGGTGCTCTGCTATGACTGATTGCGACTTGAACACACCCCCTCCTCAATGGAGAGCCCTGCAGAAAAGAGGAAGTTGTGTTCCATGGCAGTCTCTTTGCTTCCTACATGTTCAGTCCTTCAAAACTGGTGCCCTACAAAGGTGTAGCTGTCAAAGAGTTCAGCTGATATCACTTTCAGTCTGCTTAGTTGACTAACTGCTGTTTTTGAAATTGTTGTGTTGGAAATGATTGCCTCTAAAAAGGAAAAAAAGAACTTCACAATGTCAAAGAGGGTCTAGCAAGCTTTAGAGTGGAAACAGAATCATGGTTTTCTCTGATCAATCCTTCTTGTGATTGTATGGGACTCATTCAAAATCAGTTACCTGGAAAAGATCAAGGGAAAGCAGCCATGAGTTTAGGAACTGATCAAGGTAGACACTTCTTCCAGCAATCCAGGA